ACATTGACCAGACTCGCCGAGCGCACTAGAGTGACTCGGCGAGTACATGCCTGCCTCCTCGTCCCTGGTCCTCACTTGACTCACTGAGTCAACCCTATACTCCCCGGGTCGTTACAGATCGCGAGTCACGGGGCAACCCGACTCGACTCGTCGAGTCCCTTATGGACTCGGCGAGTTCCTCCCATGAAAACTCTCAAAAGATCTCTTGAGGTCAGATCTGCTTCACCAAACAGTAGATCCATCCTTCTAACATTCAAAAGTCACGTAAAGGTGCAACCTTTACGTGCATGCAACCCATATCAAGCCTCAAATGGAGAAATATCACTAGAAATGGCAACCTGGTCTCCAATTGCTTATTTGCTTGCAAAAAGCTAGAAGGTAGTGACTCTATGGACCTCTCAAGGTCCAGATCTGATATCATCAACACAAAGGGGACCTCATACTCACTAGATCTTATAAAAAAGGGAGGTAAAAACCCTAAAATCATGAAATCTATCATATCAATACGAAATAGAAGGGATTATATCTCCAGAGACAATATCTCAAGATGATTAGCTCCAATCCAAGCTCCCTTCACGTTCTAGATGGATCCTCTCTTCGTTCTCTAGCAAAAATCACCCCAAAATGAAGATTATAAGCCCTTTCTTGCACTCAAGCCTTCCTCACTCTCTCTAGGGTTTCTCTGGAACAAGGTGGCCTCAAATGACGGCCATAAGGGCCTTTAAATAGGGCACAAGCCCCGAAAATTAGGGCTTCATTTAACAGCGCGGACTCGCCGAGTCCACGCATGGACTCGCCGAGTCCACGCATGGACTCGCCGAGTCCCTTCATTAAATCCAGGCTGGCAGAAGCGCCATTCCACTCGGCGAGTCTGAGCACCTACTCGCCGAGTCCCTTTCTAAAATTCAACAAAATACTTAAAATAAGATACCTGGGTATCCGGATGTTACATAGTACCTAAATCAGAATTTCAAGTGCCAAAACGAAGAAATCTCAAGAAATTCCAAAAATGAAGATTGAAGAATCCAAATTCAAAACGAAGTACAAATCAAAGTTCAATCAAATCAAAAGCCAATTCAAAGTCAAATCTGGCAAATGAAGAACTGTGTGATATGATACTTGTGGCTCTCGAAAAAGTGAAAGCATAGGAGCTGGGCCCCTTCGGGTGGGCTCACTGTTTCAGCGAAAGCTGATTCGCCGTGACGGGTTCTTAAGGATGCGTCGATTCTGATTCTTGGCCATCTAGTCTTAAGGACATGAGATCCGGACTATGTTATTTTCGCCCATAAAGCTTAGTAAGGTATAAAGTTTTAATAAAACTAGGGTTGGATTATTGGGTTACACCGTTTCGGGTCTTCCTCACTTTGGGAGTCTGTGATATATGGAAGGAACCAGGATGGTTGCCTAGGTATTAATGATTGGAGCAATATTGATGTAAAGTCTGATCGTACTTATATAGATTATTTACTTGTGCCTTAAATTTCTTTTTGATACATTTTGTTTCTTTAGTGCTTCTGTACATATTTTTTTCGTTTTCTTTTTCATTGTTTGCATTGCATGCATTCATCCCTAGTCCTGTTTTTTCTATTTCTTGTTCTTTCTTGAGGACAAGAAAGGTCTAAGCTTGGGGAGATTTGTTAGGTGCATTTTGTGCACCTTTTTGCACAACCTTTAGCCATTTGTATGTATGTTTTTAGCATAATTGTTCATTGCTTTCATTGCATTTCATCATATTTAGGTTAATTTCTAGAACAACCTTATTTGCACTCTTTAATGACATTTTCAGGTAAACCGGAGATTGGAGCGCGCTTTTGGGGGTGCCAGGGGGGCATTGGTGAAGATTGCGGGATGATCGGGCGTAAAACGGAAGAATTGAGAAAATCAAGTTCGGACTCGGAGTCAGAGGGCAACACGGGGCGTGTTGGGTTTGGCCTAGAAATCCAACACGGGGTGTGTTTGACCATCCCAGGCAGTTTGACCTCACTGAACACGACCCGTGTTCATTTACTCTATATTAACACGGGGCGTGTTGGTCCAGTTGAACATTTTTTAGCATCATACTTTAGAGTTGGAATCGAAGTTGAAGGGTGTGTTTTCACTTAACACGACCCGTGTTGATTTACTCTATATCGACACGGGCCGTGTTCAACTAAAAAACTGCTTTTTGGCAGTTTTTCCCTTTTTCCTTATGTCGAGAATTGGGTCATTTTTGGAGAGACACAACATATCAGAGCACCATTGGAGAGGAGAATCCGAAGGTTTTTGCAAGGGTTTGTACGTTAATCATTTGGAAACATTAATTCTCATTTTTGTAAGTTGTAATTACACTTAATTTCATCTTTTTAGACTTGTGATCTTGTTCTAGCCATGTGTGGCTAGAACCCTAGTTTCTCCAATTTCATGTTTTGACTTTTTGGCTGTGAATCAAATCATATGACCTGATGTTTGTGTTTAATTTCTATCTAGTGAAACTGATTTTACTTCAATCGAATGTTTGATTCTAATAATGATTCTTATTGGCCATTTGAATTAGGGTTAGGTCATTCAAGTTATTCATTTTGCAAAATCCGTAATTGTTTTGTGAATTGAACTAAGTAACAAACATTAAATTGATTTCTTATGAATGAATTTAGTGTAAATCTTTTCACACATTCTTACGCTCCCGAGCTTGTGAGGAGTATTGGGTGTTGTTGGGAACATTCACAATAAGCTTAATGCAATCTTTTAATCTACTTCTAAGAGCTTGTTTAGATTAGGTTAGTAAGGTTAGGATTAATCAAAGAGCTTGTTTTGATTGATTAATGTGGTGAATGGAAAGTGTTAGAGCTTGTTAACACTTTCAAGTACCAACTTAGATAGAATGAAACAAATGTCTTGCCATCTTTGATTCACATTGCTAGATTGTCATACATGGAGTTGGAGTCCTTACAAAAATCTGAACTTAATTCATTGGTTTAGTTGTTTACTCGCGTTTTAAATTGGTTTGCTACATCATTACACTCAAACCCCCCCTCTTTACTGTTGGTGACCATAGTACCTTGCGCAAAGAGGTATAGACTAATTATCCCGTGTCTCTGTGGATCGACCCTGCTTGCCTTGTACTACCTTTTAGTGCAATATAGTGGGATTCTTTTGGAGTATATCGTACGCCTTTATTTGTTGGGTCTGACACGCCTAACAGACCCTATCCTTGTGATAAGTTCATATCCAAGCTTGACTCCATTTTGCCCCAAAAATGGCCATTTACTTCCAAGAAAGAGATCTAAGTAACTAGAAGTCAAGATCAAGACTTTATACCTTAGGATGCTAGCAAAAATGATGTAGATGTTGGATCTACTGTCCCTCTCCGGTCTCCTTCTTCTTCAAGCTATAAGGTTCTTCACAATCACTTCAAGGTTGCTCACAATGGCTATTTTTCTCACTCAAGAGGGGTTTACGGCCGCAAACTCTCTTCTCTGGGTAATAAGGTGCTAAGGGAGGCCACAAGGGCATGTTATGTTCTTTATATAGGGTGCAAACCCTTAAAAACTAGGGTTTCTCCTTACAGCTCCTACTCGTCGAGTAGGTCTCGATCCCGCGTCAACCCATAAGGCTCCTACTCGACGAGTTGAACTCCCAACTCGCCGAGTCTATGCACAAAACCTTAAACTTAAATAAATAATTTAAGTAATGCTTGGGACATGCGTTACAAGTGATCTGTTAGATATGTTTCCTGGTAGATAGGATGATCTTATGCTTAGTGATCTGTAAGATCTGTCTGTTTGTTATTGGATGGTTAACTACATGATTATCTGTTATATATATATATATATATATATATATATGTGTGTGTGTGTGTGTGTGTGTGTCGACAAGGTGTATGAGTGATTGGGTTGAAGCGTACCTGCTTTGTGCTAAAGGCCAACAGACCCAGGGCGTCCCAGATAGACTGAAGGCCAGTGGGGCGTACCAGTCAGGCCGAAGGCCCGGAGAACGTTCCAGATAGGCTGAAGGCCCGATGTGACGTACCAGTCATGCTGAAGGTTTTGTGAGCGTATCAGATAGACTGTAGGCTGGTGGGCGTTCCAGTCAGACTGAAGGCTCTGTATGCATGTTGTTTATTGTATTATTCTGGTTTTGTGTTGTGTTGGTACTTTGGGGGAAACTCACTAAGCTTTGGGCTTACAAATTTGGATTATGTTTCAGGTACCTTAAAGGATCGCGGAAAGGCGAATGCGTGATCGTGCACCTCCTCATGTTATGTTTTGTGATTTTGGCAAAACTCTGATGATAAACATGTTTTGAAAAACTATAATGTAAACAATTATGATTTTGGTTGTTTGAAAAGTTTAAATTTTTATGAAATTTTATGAATGTTACATTGTGAATGACCTTAAAAGAGGTAGATTAATTTATTTTCCCTATGTAATATATACTCATTCGAGATAAAAATACTTTTTTGATTCTATTTTTTTCGTGGAAAACGAGTGAAAAATTAGGCTTAACTCGTTAGGGCATCCACAATTCATTGAACTATATAGAGTTAAATGGATTGTCACATCATCCATTAAACATCTATACAACATCACCCACAACCCATTAAACACATATTCAATCCTAATCACCACTTTATTTATTCTGTTGAACCATTCAATGATCATTCAACTCTTCCATTTAACTCTATTTCATGTCATTACTCACATTCCATTCAACTCTTATTCAATCCTAGTCATCATCCTATTCAACTCTTATACAACTTGCATTGTGGATGTTCTTAGTTGGGTTAAAAACCTCATTTTCGTAGTATGTAATTTTTCAAACTAAGTCTTTATAAATTTGGATATAACTGGATTATTAAAAAAATTTATCAAATACATTTCAACATTTTATGGAGACATAAGCCCGTTTGATTATAATGAGTCGATTTAGTTCTGCATTTGTAAATTGATAGCGGGCTAGCCGCCCACACAGAGTCAGAATGTATAAAGTCACGTGGCAAGAAAATACACGTGTACATTCCATAACCATAACCAACATATCATAACCGAACCAGAAGCATGAAGAAAAGAAGAAATGCAAATGGATCTGAGAAAGGTGGAAGAAATAGTGAACGATTCCAAAGGTGGAATCATCGAGAAGAAAGAGGCAATCGTATCAACCCTCTCCAATCCCAATCCCAATTCCGACACCGACTCCGACGCCGGTGTTTCCAATCCGACAACACCACCGGTGGATGCCGCCAGTGCTCTTCAACTCTTCCTTGATCATATACCTATCTCCTCCATTCCTGGAATCCACAATTCCCCCTCCACAGGTACACTTTCGAATCGCAATTTCATTATGAACGAACACCAAATTAGGGTTTTCGGGTGGATGATATGATTGACGTTGTGATTTGAATTTATGGCAGTTCTGGTTGTGAGAACGCAGGAATGTGTAAAGGATGTGATCAAGATGTTGTATGAGAAGAATGTGAGTGGAGCTCTGGTTGCAGACGGTTTGGAACCAGATCCGACCACGACCTTCACCACATCATTCTCACATCCCTACGTTGGGTTCATAAGCTTCTCTAATATGGTTCTTTGGACTCTCCAGGTAGTTCCTTGCTTTGATTATTTTTGCATTTTTTCAATAGGTAAAAAAGTTTGTGTTTGATTTTGCTGGTTAAACTCATCAACTATGATATCTGAAAATCTGCATGGTTTTGATGTACCTAAATGTCGCATCTACACTATACATATAATGAATAAGATTCCAATTTTCATGAGACAAATGGAAGTAGTTGTTAACAGAGTTTAAATGAAACATGATGCTCGACGAACTACTCCATTCTAGGAATTCAAAAAACATCATTTTGGGAGCGAGAAAGATAATGCTAAAAGAACCAAGAAGACGAAGCCACAAGGATTCTTCTCCTTGCTCAATCAAACTCCAATTGTTTCAGAGACTAAGGTCAGGTGTCTCTTTAAACTGTTTCAACAATGACATTACATACCTTATGCATGAATCACTAAGACCCTGTTTCTTTCTTTCTTTCTTCCGATCTGATTCTTCTTTTTCCCAATCCCATCTAGTGTTGTTGTATATACATTATTTGATATGTTTGACTGATGTGCTCCAGATAGGCGAACTAGCAGCATCATTTATGTGGGAGCCCGTGTTCCCTGTAAAACGAGACCAAACACTATTTCATGTTCTTTTGTTGTTATCTAAGCACCGGCCAAGCGTGGTCCCCGTGACCCAACATTCCAGTTCAAAAGTCGTGGGCTTTGTTACCGAGGTAACTATCCTCACCTAATAATGCACACCAAACATAGAAGCTTAAGTTTGACATTTGTTTTGATAGAATTCGGTAAACCATGTACTCCTACAATCGAGCGGACTTGAGTGGTTTGACAGCATTGCAGATAAACCATTGTCGGATTTCAGGTTGAAAGAAATATTTGTCAAATTGGTTAACCAATATATTTCCTTTTGTCAATTCAGCTAATTTTCAAAGACACTTGTACAGGTTTGACCACAATGACCAAGTTGTTTCAATCTACAATGATCAAACCATTGCAGACTCAGTTCATGTTTTATGGAAGAAAAAAGTCTGCGCTGTTGCAGTAGTCAAACGACAAACCGAGAAACTCATTGGATGCGTCAGAGTTAGCGACATTCACCGCCTATTGGGTGATGATCGTATTTTTACCGATAGAGAGTATGTACTCTTATTTTTATCAGTTAACAGTTACCAGTTTATATCAATTTACCAGTAGCGTTCATTGTTTACAGGGATACGAGCGTGGAGCAATTTATACATATAGACACGGGTCCAGCGCTTGATGACATTGACCATGATCTTGGGGCTCTGATATCTGCTGGGACACTTGTGCTGAAAGACAAGTTTGGGCCGAGAATGGACTCGCCGGTTACAAACATGGAAAAGGATACCTTGAAGGAAGCTATGAAGAATTTGGCAGAAAAGAAAAGTGATTTTAGTTTTCTTGTAGATGAGTGTGGAAGAGTGAAAGGAGTGCTTACATTGAGGGACATGCTTGTGGAGTTTGCTCCCCCTTGTATGGACTCGAGGATTGATGGAGGTGGTTTCTTTGACATGGCTTTGAAGGAGTCTGGGTGCACCATTAAAGATGGAACCATGGTTCAATTGAAATGAAATCATTGGAACCATGGTCCATTCGTGGGTGTTATATGGTTTGTCCCATGTGAAATTGTAATTAGTTATACAATATAGTTTTAAGTTAACTCAACTTTACATTAAAAGATTGTAGTTAGTTTTGGACTAATGGACTTTAGGTGCCATCAAGTACTTTTATGTTTGATTTGGTTAAATGTTAACCATTTTTTTGTACATGAACGTGCATAGGCAAATAACCATCTTTAGTGCCCGAGTAGTGTTTATTCCGAGTTGTATTTTTGGATTTAGTAACACCAATACTAAATTAGATTGGTAATAGTCTAGTTTGAAGTTTTGGTTATTCAACCTTATTTTTATTGGTGAAAGGATATCCCCATTAACAACCCATTTATATATTAAAAAATTATAATATTTCTCGTTAAAATACACAACTCTATCATATCAAAAATTTATCATTTATTAACAATTCAATCCAACCCAAATTTTAACTAGAAAATTATATATAAAAATTATATCAATATCAATCTCATTTTAATTTTCCTTTTAAATAAAAATAAAATATATTTATTTCAAAATTACTTTTGGTTTATAAAAAATAATTTAATTCCATGGTTGACACTTGGGCAATCTCCCTATTCTAATAAAAGAATAGTTTTAATTTCCTTTTGATATGTGTCATCCTATTAGGCCACCTAATTAATGCATATTTTATTATTCTTTTGCTATTTGTCACCTTATTAGGCCTTCTAATTAATAAATGTCACCTGTCAACCTATTAATTCTCAATTTTAAATTTCGTACTCTAATTATATTAAATTAATAACATTAGAATAAAAATTAAAATAAAATTAATACAAATTACAAGGTGATATAATTTCACGTATTTATTTCAATTAACGTTTATAATTTTATATAACTAAAAATATCTGTTAATTAATAATTTATTAAAATAATTGATTATTAATTTTGACTTCCCACTATGAAAGTTTAATTAATTTTGTAATCGTGGTTCCCATGAGTTATAAACTAGTAAAAAGATAAAGAAATAGGCAAGTTGCGCTTGTGGGCATGAGTAGATATTGCAGGGTTTCTTTCATTTTTTTTAAATGTTTTACTGGTGAGTGATAGCTTCTTGCTCACCATTGAGGGTTGTCTAAGTATTATTATTCTTTTTATAAAATATATATATTGCATTTAATCTTAAATCTTAAGCTAAGGGTGTACCATAACACAAAAAAATCCAACCATCTAAATACTCTTAATTTTTTAATTAAAAATAATGTTAAAAGTTAGAAAGAGAAAGAAAAAAAGAGATTTGTTATCAAATATATATATATATATATATATATATATATATATACATATATATTTTAAAAAAGTAAAAGATTTTTCCCACACACGACTTTTTGGTGAGGAAAAGAAAAGTGAGAGAAATGATGACGTGGCAGACAAAAAGTGAGCGGAGCTTTCTAGGGTCTTAGGTTCACATGTGACACCTCATCATAAAACATGGTGCATTACATCTACACTAGATATTTTATACAACTTTTTGGTGAGGAAAAGAAAAGTGAAGGAAATGATGACGTGACAGACAAAAAGTGAGCGAAGCTTCCTAGGGTCTTAGGTTCACATGTGACACCTCATCATATAACATGGTGCATTACATCTACACTAGATATCTTATACATATTTTTTCTACATGTTTTTTCTGTAAATAATATTATATGTCCCGTTCCAAAAAAAAATATCATATATCATTTAGATCATTAGTTAACAATGCCTTTAGAGGTGATAATTTTGTTATTTTTACTTAAAAACACGGATTCAACCTATAATTTAATTTTAATTTAAGATTTTTTTAAATATACTATACACAAAACTAGTCAAAAGATATCCAAAATTAACTAAAATACTGTACAAATCGATTCTATAAGAAAAAAAAGTTAATTATTACTTCTATAATATGATTTATAACCAAAATTTACAATACATTTGTTTAAAAAAATAGAAAAGCAAATGAAGCACGATAGATCAAAGGCTAATATATTTTTTGATTTGTACATATTTTTTGATTTGTAAATATTTTTCGATTTGTACATATTCGATCAAAGGGTAATGACTTAAAAGGGTAATATATTTTTCGATTTGTACATATTTGGTCACTGAGTTTTTTTTTTTTTTTTTTTCATCCGCATTTACCCTTTCAACTTGTTAAACCGTACACATTCGGTTCTTATGACCAGCTACTACATGTTAGCCGGTAAAAATGACTTAATATGGTAATATATTTCTCACTTTGTACACATTTAGTGCTTAATATTTTTGTACACATTTAATCATTAATATTTTTTTGTTGCAAAATAAGACATTTTTTTATACTCATTCAGTACTTATAAATGATTTCTTTAGGTTTTTCTCACGACATCTTACGTGACACAATCATTAATGAGGTGTTTGAGACTTTTGATGTTTATGTCCATCACAATCTCGACTACTTGGTTGCTTAGGTTATGTGTTCTGAACGTCATAACTTCTTCATACGATCTCAGATTTTAACGATCTTTATATCAATGTGTTCATAGTTTAGTCTACTACAGTTTTTGTTTAGATTACTTCTGTTAAAAAGTAATATATTTTTACTTACGATCTTTATATTCATACTTTTTTTATGAATGCATGTATGAATGTTTTTTTTATTTATTTATAAAATCGTAAGTAAAAATATATTACATTTTAACGATAGTAATCTTAACGAAAGTTGTAGTAGACTCAAAAAACGAACACATGGATATACAAATCGTTAAAATCCGATATCATATGAAGAAGTTACAACGTTCAGAACACAATACCTAAGCCAAAACCACAAGACCTACGTAACCAAGTAGTCGAAATCGCGATGAACATAAGCATCAACAGCCCCAAACACCTCATCAATGATTGTCCCACGTAAGATGTCGTGAGAAAAACCTAAAGAAATCATTCATAAGTATTGAATGAGTACAAAAACAAAATGACTTATTTTGAAAAAAAATATTAAAGACTAAATGTATACAAAAATATTAAGGTTTAAATGTGTAAAAAATGATAAACATATTACCATATTAAGTCATTTTTCCCGGCTAACCTGACTGAATGTGTACGGTTTAACAAGTTGAAGGGGTAAATGTGGACGAGAAAAAACTCAATAACTGTAGGAATCAAAAAATATATTACCGTTTTAAGTCATTATCCGGAGATCAAAATGTTCACTCTCCCGTCAAAAGATAATGAATTTGAAGCTTTGGATTTTGAAACTTATGCCCATTTTTAGGGCGAAAGTGAAATAAATAGAAGTGTAGGGTAGAAAGCGCCGCTTTGAACTCCTCCATATCAAGTTACCTCCACCACCCGTAAACCCTAAATCATCATAATAACAGACGTCCCCTTCCCTAAACCCTACTTCCTCCGCGAGTAGCAGCTAACGATGGGTGGAAAGGCCAAGGGAAAGCATCGTTTGGATAAGTTTTACCACTTGGCCAAAGAACATGGCTACCGTTCCCGTGCTGTTTGGAAACTTATTCAGCTCGATTCCAAGTACACTTTCCTCCGTTCTTCTCACGCCGTTCTCGATCTCTGCGCCGCACCCGGTGGTTGGATGCAAGCCGCCGTCGAACGTGTGCCTGTTGGAAGCCTTGTGATTGGTGTCGATCTTGACCCTATTCGCCCCATTCGTGGCGCCATCGCGGTGCAAGAAGATATTACCACGCCTAAGTGTAGGGCTACTGTTAAGAGATTGATGTCTGATAATGGTGTTAGAGCCTTTGATTTGGTGTTGCACGATGGATCTCCTAATGTCGGTGGTGCTTGGGCGCAGGAGGCTACGAGTCAGAATTCTCTGGTTATTGATTCGATTAAGCTTGCTTCGGAGTTGTTGGCCCCGAAAGGAGCATTTATTACCAAGGTATCCATCTCTCGACCTTTTACATTTCTATAACTAGAATAGTGTTTGGCAAATTTGAAAACAAAACCGATTCGTGATTATGTTATGTTTAGCAATAATCATAATTAATCATGTGCCTAAAATTGATAATTAGATTATTCTTCATTAAATAATCTCAATTATAATCACTTTTTATTGAACACTCTAAACTGACCAGTTTAATCACACATCCAAACATCCTCTATGTTATATCCTCAATTTGTTGATGATTCCTTGCTTTTAAAGAAGGTTTGTTGTAATGAAATGGAGTCATTTCAAGTTTCTTTTGATTTAAATCGAGTCTTTCTTTGGGGTTAAGGGAAATGTGATGTTTTTGACTCCCATTATCAATGTTAAATAGAAAGATGAGCCTGGTGCACTAAAGTTTTTTGGCTTAATTTGAAAGAATTTTGTTCTACATGTGGTGATTTGTGGAAAAATTACATCTTTATATTTACTTCAGGGTACAAATTTGTATCTGAATTGTTGGATTGAAAACCTTTTGCTTTTCTTGTTTTTTTAAGTTAGCTCATTTTAGCCTTCCTAACGTTCCTGTATATTGTTTTCATGCTAAAATGTATTCACACAATCATATGTTCTATTATATGTTTGATCCTACCCTCACTTAATCCAATGTAAAGAGCATCATATTCTTAGATTTTAACCACTTGGTAACATCTGTAACAGGTTTTTAGATCTCGGGACTACAATGCTGTCCTTTACTGTCTTAGACAGTTATTTGAAAAGGTTGAAGTGGATAAACCAGCTGCCAGTCGTTCAACATCTGCAGAAATTTATATTGTATGTCTGAAATATAAGGCACCTGCTAAGATAGATCCTCGCCTTTTTGATGTTAGGCATCTTTTCCAAAGTGGCAAAGAAACCCCAAAGGTACAAATATTTCTTCACTTCTGATAACCCATCCAACTTATGTCAACAGAAAACTAAAAAGCTTTCACCTTGTGTATGAAATTTATAAATTCAGGTTCTTGATGTACTTAGAGGAACAAAACAGAAGAGACATCGTGATGGGTAAGCCCTAACACTAAACCCTAAACACTAAATCCTAAACCCTAAAGTTGTTGGCTTGTTGCTAACCACTTTAATGTA